ACTGCCCTCATAAAATCTGAAGAAGCTTTAAAATGTTTCTTCAACAGTTTTAAATTTTACTTCTGGTCTTAAATTATAATGAAAAGTAAAAACAAAACAAATTCACAGAAAATTCATCATTTTCCCAATGATTTGTGAACATAATTATTACATAACATGGGAATATTATTTATAATGTATAAATATTTTCAAAAGTTTTAAAAGCATCAGAATAAACAATGTTAGGCTATTCTTTTTTGGGGATAGGCAAATGATAAGCCTTTATTTTTTATTTTATATAAAAATATTTCCTATTTAACATTATTTCCTTATTCTTTTTTTTTTTTTTTTTTTTGGTGGCTGACTGGTAAGGGGATCCAAACTCTTGACTTTGGTGTTATCAGCACCATGCTCTCCCAAGTGAGCTAACCAGCCAGTTATTTTCTTATTCTAGTATCTAGGACTCAACAAATACAGGCTAAAGTAAAAACAGACACTACTCCTGTGGTAGATAATTCTAGGCATCAACTTGATTAGATTAAGGAATACCTAAAAACCTGGTGAAGCTATCTTTTGGCTGTGTCCGTGAGGGTATTTCCAGAAGAGATTCGCATGTGGTCTTGAATGGACCTCAACACAGCAGGCACCATTCCAATCCTCTGGGGGCCCGGAGAGAACAGAAATGGAGGAAGGTGAATCGCTCTCTCTATTCGCTGGCGCTGGGACACACTCTGCTCTCCTGTCTGTGGATATCAGAGCTCGAGACTCTTCAGCTTTGGGGTTCTGGGTCTTATACCAACAGTGCCATTGGCTTCCCTGGTTCTTTGGCTTTGGACTTGCACCGAGCCATGCCACCCACATCCAGTTTGCAGACAGCCTATTGTGGGAAGACTCAGCCTTCACAATCGCATGAACCAATTCCCTTAATAAATCTACTCTCCTATATTTATATACACACCCATTTGGTTCTGTCTCTCTGGAGAACCCTGATTAATACAATCTGCTTACCAGTCACCTTCCTTTCAGAGGAATATATAATCAGAGGTCAGGAATGTAACGTTTTGCATGAGAAAATATAAAGCAAAAGTGGCTTGGCTGGAGACAGTGACAAAGTTGTAAAAAATAAGAAGAAAAAAAAAGGCATTGCTCCTAAAACTCCTGGCTTTGAGACTTGACACTGGATGTTGGGATTGCTTTTTGGTGCAAAGGTACAGAGGCAAGGGGATGGCACTTTCAATGTCATGTTGGAACTGTGTCATCATCAGACACTTCAGATAGTTTCTCTCCCAGTTTGTCTCCTTCAGTATAATCTGCCAATTAGATAAAGTTTTTCTTGATGGAAAGAACCCTAAAACACGGATTTCTCTCTAAAGGTCAGGGCAGTCATTCCCCTATAACAGAGCTTAAGTGGCATAGGAATGTGCCTTGTACCTCCTCGCTGTTTCTACTAATTGGGTTCAGGCCTGTTCACCAAGAGAAGGTAGTGAAAATGGCAGGCTTCCAATTAGCTTATTTTTTCCTTAAGGTCCCTCCACTTTCTGCTCCTAAATTCTTCCAATCATGTATTGTAAAGTTCCTGCCTTCTCTTTTTTGGAATTTATTAGTGGCAATAAAGTGCGGGGGTATAAGAACAAAGTCAAGCTTATGATCTATTATCTGCCAATATTAAATTATAGTCCACGCAGTCAGGGAAATAGTAATGGTTAAAGGGCATTAAAACTTCTTAAAACACTGTGAAACATCAAAACTAAAGGTTTTGTTGCATTTTTTGTTTCTTGGGTCTCAGAGTCAAAATTTCAGAAGCACAAAAACTTTTTCAAAGTAACACCACAACAAACCATTTAGTTCTCAAATCCCTTTGTGTACTCTGAGATCTCTCAGAAAAAGGAAGTCACAAGATTGGCATAAGCAAAGGATGCTCTTTGAAAGATACACAGTCCTCTACCTTACGAGATGAATCTGACATAGGATTCTGCCACAGGCTATTTTGAGCAGGGTGAATTAGTCACCGAAAAGCAAGACTATTATCTCTGGAAATCACGTTGAGCTTAACCCCAAGTACTACCTGGTACAGAATTCTAATAAGATATGTCACCTACCTTTTGTTACAGAAGTACAGCTAACCAATATTCTGACAAAGGTCAAGAAGTTTCAGTATCCCCTTACACGAGAACACAAAGAGTAAGACACCCTCAGCTTCGGGAGGTGCCTGCTAGCTCAGCACTTCAAAGCACTCTTTTGTCCTTTACATCCCTACTGTTTACTCCCAATGGCAAAGCAGATGTGGTCATAACTGCCTTCAAAAATAGAGATAACGAGAGACAAGCAATCTAGGAGGAAATAGAGCAAAAACAAAACCACTGGAGACATATAAAATCTAGAGCTCTATTGACCTCTTCAGTCCAGATGAAGGAAGACAGCCATCAGATCTACCTTGGAAATACCAAATTGTAAAAGCAGAGAGTAGATTCTTTTTAATCATAAAAAACATTCTTTTATCTATGTGATGCAATAATCTTTTTTTCTTTTTGGCGGCAGGCTGGTTCAGGGATCCGGACTCTTGCCCTTGGTGGTATAACACCATACTTTAACCAACTGAACTAACCAGCCAGCCCTTTTATATTTTTAATGCAAAAATTAAAGACGAATAAAAAAAGCCTCAGAAGAGATATCGGGCCACTAACGTAAGATGACTCCTAGGGAATAGTTAACAGAATAAATCCACAATTTAGTAAGAATAACTGGAATGAATTTCCAGCATATAAAGTATAACCTATTTTTCCTCTTCTGCACAAACAGTGTTTACTTCTAGCAAAAATTTTAATATGGCTTTTGCTTTATTTTGTTTTTATGGTTCTTGCCTTGTTAAATGGATTTCAGTCTAATTAATTATCCTGCATCTGATGTGAACTCATCAATGGTTTCTACTCCTCCAGGTAGACTGTCTCTCTCGTATCAAATTTAGTGAATGGGTCAACATTTTTTAAACTTAAGCCAAGGAATAAGAAGATGTTTTTAGGATTGGGATGTCTACATAGACTAAAGGCGTACCTGTTTTTTAAAAACCTGCATATCATAAAACAAATACTTCAAATAACTTCAACAGAAGCAAATCAAGGTTCAGTCCTTGGGGAAAAAAATGTGTGGCCTCTTAATGCAATCCCCTTTTGGTTAAAAAGAAACTATTTTATACCAAAATTACAAAGAAAAAGTATACTACTTCCTTAACAACAGATATGCAACTGTATTAGTAGGATAAAAGTCATAGCTTTATAATATAACTTAATGTATCACATTTTAGAAACTCTGGGCTACCAAACTCTTTGTCCTAATTTTGCTTTAAAAAATGGTGTATTTAGCATAATTAGCTAAAGGTGTTGGTTGTCACTTGCACCCTTGCCCACACCATCCTTCCCTTCTTGCTTTAACAGACCCCACTTGCGTTCAGTGATGAGAGACTGCGTTTCAGGGAAGGTAAACCACACAGCCCCCTCCCCCACCCATAGCTCCAGGAGGTCAAGCTCAATTCCCATAACCACCATGGGTATTTCTTATTTCTTCTCCCTTTGATTTAGAAATGGGCAGACAAGTAATGCAATTTTGGCCAGCAAAACACTGGAGGGGCATCTGTTGGGAGACTTGTGGGAAAGGTTTATTTGCTTTTTTAAAAAGCCACAAGGAAGAAAAAGGCCCTGTCCCCTTTCCTCTGTGCTACGATGTGATGGTTGGGGCTCTGATAGGAAAGGACAAGCTGAAGCACATGGCCCTGTGGAGGGGCTCCCTAAAAAGATGGAGAACCCACATCCTCCATGAGGTTGCTCAGGTTCAAATTTAACCCCCAGCCTTCCTGTCACATGAATAACAAATATTTCCAGTGATTTTTTTCTAAATAATATATTAATACATTCAGCGTCTCTAGCTATCAGGCATGATTCTAAGCCCTTCATGGGTATTACATGACTTTACAACCCCCTGAGCAAGTTGTTAGGATTATCCCCATCTGCTAGATGAGTAAACTAATGTATACACACAAGTTAAGTGATGTGCCTAAACCTCATACAGGGTAAATAGCTGGTAACCAGCCAGTCTGACTCCATTGCCCAGACTAAATTACCTAAATTTCAGAAATGTTTATTTCAAAGTGATAATGAAGTAATAACATCAATTAATTTTAAAGTATGTATTATTTTGAGAAAATTGTTTCCTTGTTAGAACTTCCATGGGTATTTTTATTATTTAAAACTATTCCTGGGGCTGGCCAGTTAGCTCGGTTGGTTAGAGCATGGTGCTGGTAACACTGAGGTCCAGGGTTCGATCCCTGGATGAGCCAGCTGCCAAAAAAATAAAAATAAAAAATAATAAAATCAATTTATTTCCATCATACAATGGTTGTATGCTAACATTTGCTGTATAATAAAAATCAGTCCAGTGTCCAAGACACACTGTCCTTTTTTGCTGTTTCATATTTGAACACCCCAGGTACACAAAATTATTTAAGGAGTTTATACTGTCAAACAGAGACTGAGATAAAATATGCAAAATGCTTACAATTTCTTTCCACTAAGATCACTAATCTAAATTGAAAAACAGCTATTTCAGTATTTAGGGAACAGATTTATTAATAATTTTTAAAATAATTAGAAGAGATAAATAAAAAAACATTCTGTCACTGAATACTCACCTAATTTTCCATCCATATAAACTTTTTAAAGAAAATAACTAAGTAACCAAGTAACCAAAAATGTGGGTTTTGATTAACAAAACTATTAAAAGATGTTCAATATCACTAATCCTCAGGGAAATGTAAATCAAAATCACAGTGAGATATTACATCACACCTGTTGGGATGGCTATTCTCAAAAAGGCAAAAGATAACAAACATTAGTTAGGATATGGAGAAAAAGGAACTCTTGTACACTGCTGTTGGGAACATAAATTAGTACAGCCTCTATGGAAAACAGAATAGCTGGGATAGGATGTTATAGAAGGGAGGACACATGTAGAAGAAATCATTGTGTTACCTGTTCTTGCTTCTCCAACCACTTGTCCACCATTGGGTGACTGGCACTTAGAGATGAGCGAGCATTGTCTCTCTGAAATTGGTTAGTCCAGTTGCTTGTATCCCGAGGGAGGCTTCTGTAGTTTTCATCTTTCTATTCAAAAAAAACCAAAAAGGTGTCTTGTAAAAAACCAGACCTGGCAAATTATTGATGCACTTGGTTTTTCAAAAGCAGTAGAAAAGTAATTCTACATGTTTAAAATATTTTTTCAAGCCCATATAAAAGAGCTGATTGAGCACATTTCACCAGATTAGACCTCAGAAATGTAGTCATGTTCTGAGGATAGAGAAGTCTTATGACTACAGCAGGAAAAGTGGCCACACATGTACGCACACAATAGGCAAAGCACTATATTCTGCAGTCACACCCAAATTGATCTCCCCAGGTCCAGAAGTTGTACCAAAAAAAGTGAAAAATATTTCTATAAAGACTTTTACCATCTCTGAATCATGGCATTTTCTCGTGTCTTCTTTCCAATCTCATGATTATAATTGTGAAATATTTTCAATAATTAATCAAAAATGCTGAAAACAAGGAAGACTAATAAATTTGCTCTTTCTTTTGATCCTTGCAGTTTTGCGACTTTAGGTAAGAGACTTAAAATTCTTTGGGCTGTTCTGATATCTACTTCATAAGCTAGTAGTCAGCATTAACTCTGTTAATCTACTCTCTTAATTCTACATTTATGCTTATTCTTCACTACTTAAACTATATGAGTACCGAGTACACACAAAGAAACAAAAAAAATGCAATAAAACAGGTTTGCATTGCATAGACCTCAGCTGTAGACTAGGATACTATTTTCTCCTACTTTTGGAGTTCCATCAGAGAATAAAGCTTGACAGTCTTGGACCTATGTCAATACTGTGACACAGGGGGAAAAAAATCTACAAACATTTACCAATATAAATTTTGACATAAAATTTTATAAACTTGAAGAATTAACTTGCAAAAACTAAAATAATATGTTAAAATTCAGTAGCAGAATTAAACTTTAGCTGCAAGTAAGTTTTTGCTAGAAAAATTCTATATATTTCCGGTCACTGCAACTTGAGAAAGCTGTAATGAAGCAAAACCACAAGTGCAAAAAAAATTCAGGGAAAATTAAGGATGTTGCTCCATGCCCAGGGATTAGGGACTGACCTGGCTTACAGAAACATGGAAATGGTCAGGAGAAGACATGGACAAAGTCTAAAGAAAACAACAAAGGAAATGAAGAAACTAAGGCTCAGGGTATCTCAAAATGCTACGAGTCTCTCCTTAAACCTTGAGCTTCAGAAAAAAAAGAAAGGAAATATTGTTTCATATGATAGTCCATAAATACACTGAAAAGAAATTCAAGTCATAAAAGGCAGATACATTTACTTGTGACAGAACCTTAAATGTCTACAAAGAGAAAAACAACTGGAAACATGATGAAGCATATACGACTTTTATGCCAAGGATCTTGATACTACCACTGTTGAGAAACCTGGCTTTTATACTCATTTTCCACCATTTGAGGTGATTATTATACCAAGTCCTTACTTAGAAAATAAATAATGAAACAGGAAGTATTAGAAGTCTATCCTGTCCTTTCAGGAGGAGGTTTTCAGAGAAACCATCAGTGCCATGTGATGAGGGGAAGCTTCTATTTTCAGGAGCTATGCCAAGGAAGGGAAGTAGAACAAATAATGGAATTAGAAAAATCACCATTTTCAATTCCTAATGAAATAATTAATTCAGGCTAAGATAAGTGATAGATGCTAAAACTGTTATGTGAAAAGTAAATAGAGAACTGGATATTTGCATAGTGACAAAATATCACTTGAAAAGAAAAAAAATACATCTTTAAAGGAAGAGATCAGGGCCGGCCCGGTGGCGCACTGGATAGTGCGCCGCTTGGGAAGCGCAGCGGCACTCCCGCCCGAGGGTTCAGATCCCACATACGGACCGGTTCCCGCTCACTGGCTGAGTGAGGTGCGGGAAGCAGCGCCGAGGGTTGCGATTCCGTTGCCGGTCCCCGGTCCGGTACGGGGGCAACACTGAGGGTTGCGATCCGTTGCCGGACACGGAAAAAGACAAAAGACAAAAAAAAAAAAAAAAGGAAGAGATCAGACACCACAGAAATCTCAGCTTTCTTGGTGTCTAGAGTCTGGTGCACTATGGGTACTTCCTCTGCTCCTTCTGAATCTTTGTCATTGGTCCCCTTCTCGTAAGGGGCCCTTGCTGGCTCTATCTATGGATTGCTTATTCCTAGATCTCCAGATGAGCTCAAAAAGTGCTCAATTTCAAAACCTTCCACCCTAACAACTTCTCAACACTTCCTTTTTCCTGAATTCATGATCTAAATTTCCAATAGGATGTCCCAAAGATACCTCAAAACTCAATACATCCAAAATGAAACTGGCCTCCTATATCAACACATGCAACCCTCCCCAAAATATTCAGAATCATCTTCATCTCTTCCCTCCCTCTTTAATCTCCACAGTTGCTAGGTCTTGTTGATCCAAAGTTTTTTGCCACGATTTTACTCTTTGGCCATAACCCTAGTTCAGGACCAACTTGTCTCTCATTTGAAACTGTAATAATGACCTTCGAACTGGACACTTCCAGCCTTATCCTCTCTGACAATGTTCTCCACTGCTTCCTGGCAGAGATTTTTCTAAAGCCTGTGTTGGATCACATCACGCCCGTGGCAAATGCTATAGGCAGAGCAGGGAACTTTCAGACGATGGTGCTTGCTGCACCACACATACGTCTTCACCTTCTCTCCTGCTTTTCTTGAGCCTAGACGTCTAACATTTCTTCTAGAGAAATACTTATGCTCCAAAGACCATTCTAAATGCTACTTTCTCTGAGAAGCTTTCCCTGATTCTCAATAGAACTAATCATGTCATGCTCTGTTACCACTATATCCTAATTTTACTTTAATTATAGTTCCAACTTATAATTTAGCTAATTTTTAAAATTGCTATTTCCACTACTACAGTGAAGCCTGGGCAGAAGATCACCATTCACCTTTAAACCCAAGCACTTAGCACTGTGGTCTACACCAACGTAAATGGCTTTTTCTTGAATATTTTTTATGTTTCCTATGTCATATGGTTTCAGAATCCTGAAATTTTAAAAGAACACTTTATAAGTTGTTTAAGGGGTTGCTTTTAAAAGGTATCAAGATAAACTTCAATGAAATGTATTTTTACCGAAATGCAAAGATTGCATTTTTACATTTATACTAAAAGATGTACACCATTGTTATTAAGTCAATTATGACATGTAATTCCTGCAGCAGGGTACCAGAGAGTAATCATACTAAGGGAGACAATGGCTAAAGATCAAAAGCTCTATCATTTTGCACTGTACATGGAAAATTCTTTAATTTTATATTTATGGAATCAACTTCGAGGAGTTAACAGGTAAGAAAAACAAAACTGACATGAACCCCTCATAAAACAATTTTCATGCAGCTAGCTGTGAGGGGGGGGAAAGAAGAACAATTTTCTGGGTCTAGCTCAATTGGCTAGACCGATGCTCATAACACGAAGGTCCATGGTTTGATTCCTGTACTGGCCAGCCAATAAATAAATAAATGAATGAACAAATGAATGAATGAATGTTTCCCTAATTCATGGCAAGGCCAATAATTAATTTATGTATTAATTCAAGCATAATGTATGAAAAGTCCAGTAAATTACAGTAATCTTAAATCATTATCAACTAAGTGAAGAATTTTGAAAATATATTATATATATTTTTTTTTTCCTTTTTTGTCTTTTTTCGTGACCGGCAATGGATCGCAACCCTCAGAGTTGCGCCCGTACCGGACCGGGACCGGCAACGGGATCGCAACCCTCGGTGTTGCCCCCACCCCTCGCTCAGCCAGTGAGCGGCCGGTCTGTATGTAGGATCCGAACCCTCGGCGGGAGCGCTGCCACACTCCCAAGCGGCGCACTGTAGCAGTGCGCCACCGGGCCGGCCCTGAAAATATATTATTAATCACTATGAAACATATATATTATTTTGTTGATGGCACTATGCAGGTTCACCCATGTTCTTCCTCACAATCCTGCCTGAAGTTTGGATCAAGTGCATACAAAGAGTGTAGACCTGTAAAGCTGTGATTCTGTATTTATGACATTAAGTGCATCAAAAGACATTATAACATACAGTGTATATTCACATCACAATATACAAGGGTACTTCAAAAAGTTCATGGAAAGATTTGTATTATCTTTTAGGTCTATTTTCCTATGAACTTTTTGAAGTACACTCATACATTTAAATATTCAATTTCCCGTTGAAATGTATATAGTATATTCTATTTCAACTTAAAAATATTTGAGCTAGTGTAAATAATTTTAAAAATATGATTGGCTTAACTATATCTACGCAAGACTACATACACTCATTTATGAATGAATCTACAACTACATAAAAGTCAAAAATTTTACATCAAACATACACTTCATAACCTAATGGGAAAACCAAACCATCAAATTTTATTGGGATTAATATTTTTGCAACAAGTTAGAGCTGTATTTATAATAAATTGGTGAGTGTGATTTTAATCTGCTTCACTCTTTGATCAAATTAATGCCTTCATTCTGTACCTTGTTAAATGTCAAATCTATCAGTACTACCAATACGTAAAACTCCTAATGATTATTAAATTTGCTAACAACAAGAAATAATTTATTACAGTACTACTTTATCTTAAAGATTACATAAGAAAAAATACCAAAAGGAATTACTCTTTTTTTTTTTTTAATTCTAACTTTAATTCTCCACTTATGAGGCTGCCCCAAACAGCCACTCAGCTTTGTACTGGGAGGGAAACTTTCCCTCTTGCCAGGAAAAAAACAGATGTTCCTGCTGTGATCAGGGATTTTTCTTATCATCTAAATGTACTGCCACATCGTCAGGTGTCAAAAAGCCACCCAGGCTGGGAAATGCGTACTAATTTGCTGCTCCCTTGTAGCAGTACCCTGGTTATGGAGCAAATCTCTTCCAGAGTAGGAAAAGTAACTGTCCTATCTCCCCTTCACCCCTCCTCAAGCCAATTACAATTCAATAAAAAGAAATCACATGAACCCACCCAGTGCCTTGAGACA